CCTTTACCTAGAGGAATTGCTGAGAAAAACGTTGCTGCCTCTGTAATCAACAATGGGTCTGGTATGTGTAAAGCTGGTTTCGTCGAAGACGACGCTTCAAGAGCCGTATCCTCTATTGTTGGAGGAACTAGACATCAAGGGGTGATGATGAGAGTGGATCAAAGGGACAGTTATGTGGGGGACGATGCTCGATCGGAACATGGTGTCCCGACACTGAAGCACCAAATTGGACATGATATTTTGACTGAGTGGGGTGATATGGAGAAGACATTTTACCATGCATTCTACGACGAGTTGCGAGTGGCAAAAGAAGAACATCCAGTGTTGTTGGCAGAAGCTTCATTGAACCCGAAAGCAAACAGTGAGATGACACGGATCATGTCTGCGACTTTTAACGCACCAGCTATGTATGTTGCTATTCAAGCGGTGTTGTCACTGTATGCATCTGGTCGTACAACTGGTATAGTGTTGGACTTAGATGAGGGTGTGACCCACACAGTTTCGATTTATGGAGGTTATGCATTGCTTCATGCTATTTTGCGTCTAGACCTTGCTGGTAGAGATCTTACCGACTTTATGATGATCCTGGCTGAGACAGGTTGCAATTCTTCTGTCTATTTGTGGAACATACTCAGGCGCAAACCTCCAGACAACGTTTTGCTTTATAGTGAGTTACTGGTCTTAGTGAGAAGGAGAACCTATTGGGAAGCTGCGAATGCTTTGATTTCTGGAGGGGGCCGAATTGCAGCAGACTCTGGGTTAGGTTTATGGGTGTACAGGAGTACTGTTGTAAGTCCTGTGCTTCCCATTGGTATAGAGCAGTTAGTAAGGACAGTCCTGACAGGAATGTATTCTAAGGTGCTTTGCGTATTTGGAGGGATTTTGGGGGCCGGTGTAATGGAAAGAGAACGATGAAAATCCCTCCACAGCCTTTTTTGTTGGACAGTATTTTTATTTATTTGTTTCTTCTCCCTGTCATATATTTTAACCATTGTTCAGATCTCGTTTGAGCTTTTATTATGTGATTTTGAATAAAAAAATTATCTTTTTGTCACCTAATTTTTTATTGCATATTGCCGGACTATTGACAGTGAGGTCGTGTTTGACTAAGCTCAAGGTCATGGCGTGATTCAGTGTGACTGTTAACCTTTTGACTATCTGCTTGGGAGGATTTCTGGAATCCTTGCAGATAGACATTTGGTCCCGTTTGTTGGAAATATATTTTTTGATTCTCATGTATCAAATCCTTTGGTATTGACTGTTTTTTTATTGTTTAGCGCACTACATTGAGTTAGAGAAACTTCTAACTGTATAGCACAGGCTGTACCGTTTGAGTTATTTTGTATTTTTGATATAATTTTTTCTATTTCTTAAATTAGAACCGTATAGATTGAGCACGGAGTTTGTGTTTTGATATAATTTAATACGAGTGTCTCAAAAACGCTTGGCGAGCTATACAGAAGATCTTAGTCTGACCTATTCGAATACGTTTTGGTTCGCCAGCCCTACGTTCAGCCCGAATACTGATAGTTCGGTCGTTACAACTGTTTCTCATTTGTCTGGTGTTTAGCTTTGACGGTTGTGATGGGTAAGACTCAATTCCACTACTTTCTCCGCAATAGGATTAGCCGGGTTTTAATAGGAGAAATTATAAAGAGCTCATTTATCCTTTAGCTGTTTAACAGCCACAGAAGTCAGCTTGGATTCTGTCAATGGTTTCATTAGTTGTACATAGGTGAGTATGAAACTTCAATAAAAGTTAATCAAACATCAGAAACTTCTGAGTTGCGTCGGAAAACTTGGTATGGGGTATATCTTAATGGTGTCCAACTTTTCGTTAATTAGTATAATCCGTTCTTGGTTTATTGTATGTCCGAGTAAATCTAGAGTTTGAACACGGAACACCCACTTGTTTTGATGCATGTTCATCCCATTTTCACCTAGCTGTTTTGACACTGCTCTCACATGACCGTAAATCCGGATTGAAAATTAACAAATTGCTTATATCCTTCTGTTCTAAAGACATATCACGAAGTAGGTTTTTCATAAATCTTTGAAATGTTTGTGCCATATTCCTCTGTCTGAATAGCATACGTACAAACACAAACAGTCCGTAGAAAGTAGGACTAACCGTCCTCGGGATACCTTCCTCAGGTACTGCGAAATCATATTATGCCCCGACTAAGTCAGTTTTAACAAGTATGCTCATACCCAGCATGTCATTTGTAAAATCTTGGATTTAAGGCATCGGATATCTAACTGGTACGGTTTGACGGTTGATAGATCTAAAATCCCACATGGTAGCCAATCGCTCTTTTTTTTCTTTGGGACTATATTCAAAAAGGATTCCCATTGACTATCAGAGGGACTGATAATACCCAGCTGTAGCATGTAGTTGGATTCAACTCCAGTGATTTTAAGCTTACCTGATGCTAGTCTTCTGGGTGTGGTACACACAGGTGCACGTTCGGTTGTTTACTTTTGGAAAGCTAAGGAATCTGTTTGGTTAGGTTCGGAAATTCCGCGAGTATACTCCGGAATTTCGCCGTTGTTAATGGAGGATTTTTTATCACATTTAGATATGCGTAATTCCAAGCTTTCTTTGGTGTCATTCCCAGTATTGACAGATCTACAGTAAGCAATTGGGGGAATTGTTTCCTAAACCCTATGGATGTCGACAACTTTTCCACCCGAACGTCACGATTTTAGTCTTGTTGGCAGCTTGAGGTATAACCGTGGAAATGTCTCGACCAATCTCAGTTTTATTCCAAGGAACGATACTAAGCGTTGCGGTGCTATCCATCAATATGTTCAATTATGGATTTCCGTTTCTAGCATAAAACAAAAAGATGTTCGTGCACTCCTGCTAAGTCGTCGAGACCAGTTGGAAGGGGATAACTCTTTATTCATATTCTTGGGAGTCCGTTTAAGCGAGGCACATATCAAGATGAACCTGATTGATTCAACACAAAAGTTCCAGTGTTATCATTAAATTTTCCACACTGTCTGGACGTCTATGACCTCAGTGATGATTCGCTTCAGTTTCTGTGATCTGTGTACATTTTAGCTGCAGTCTCTGTGAAACTTTAACACACGCAATGAGTTCTGCTATGAATGAATCTTTCGATGATTCTTATTTTTGTGCATGATGTACAGTATGTGATCCAGTTGGGGGATATCTGTCCATTATTCTACTTGCAAAATGTGCTGAAAAAGATCAAAATATGTTGGGATTTTGATCACACAAACGGTAGTGAGTGTAGAATGGTGGAGCTTGTATCATCTTTGTTTTAGGATTGTTTCGCTCACTAAGACTTGAAGGCGACTTAAAAACTGCGTTAACATAAAACCTGGCGTTTTTCCTTGGAAAGGCCATTGTGTCCTTTGACCATCTGAAAAAGATGGACGACCAATCATCTCTTATATTAAAATGTTGTGTGGTTGTCATATTGGTGAACTCAAAATTAAGTCACGAACTTATCTGGCGACTGAAGGAGAGAGGATAAAGCATAAATCTCTGTAGTCGTATCCTTTAGGTTTATTATTGTGTCTCATGAAATAATGCTCTAGTTGAGCGAACCGCAACTAATGGTCAGTACAGTCAACTCCTGGGAGTCGTACTTTCACGGCCATAACAGTGATTATTATTGCCGGTGGCAAATAAATTTGCCCTCCAGGCTTTCGGTTCGTATTGAGTCTAACATGTATTACACGACCAATACATTACTATAATATGAACGGGGTAGAATAATGACTACAACACGAATGCTTTGAGACGAAGAAACAATATATAAAAGCATAGGTGCACGAAATTAGCGTTTAAGATAACCAGAAGTTTTACTTTAACGACTAAGCAAACAAAGTATTAAGCTAAACAGAAATTAAGTTATAAGTTCAATATAGGGCTCAGCAGTTTTATGCCTGTGAATGCACTTCGTTTCATTGACAGAGGAAAACAAACTAGTTGTGAATATATCTTCATTAATATCGTGGACGGCATACAACCAACATTCAACACAATATGATAAGAAATATAATGCATATAAAAATTAGGAGTGAATGATAACTTGAGCTATAATGTTTCGACATTATTCAGATGTTTGCGACCAACTCCTAACCAATCAGCTTATTTTGTTACAGATCTTCCTTCTCTGATTTATTCCATGGGCCACTTAACTCACAGTTATAACAAAAGATTCAAAAATGATTCGCTAGTTTTTGTTTTTATTTAAACTTGATTTGTTGTTATGTACCGTATATTCACCATCGTCTTTAGCCATAATTTAGTGGCATCGCATCACCTAGAAAGCAGAAAATGCTCATCAAGCTGTAGGTGTCACTCACCAAACATTGTTACTTAATATGGAATTTGAACGCAAACATTGCGTGTATCGTCATCGGTCACTAACCTTGGTAGTACGTCTATGAAGGTTCACGCTCTATCCAAAATGTATGAAATATGAAAAGACCATAGAATGTTGCTTATACGGCATGCGTTTAATCATCTGTTGTTCAGGTCAAAGCCATTAAAAATCATGAGATTACATTGTGAAATTGAGTTATCTTTGACCAAAACTCCTCAAATTATTCTCCCACACATTATTTTCTACAAGCTGGCTGTCTCATTCAAAGGGTGTTCAACAAATAGCGCGTTGCCTTTCAAATAAACACATCACGCTAGCCTAATAAGTAAAGTCCTACCTTACAGCTTCGCAACTGTATCCATAAAATGTATATTATATCTTGAAGTAAATACATACCAATATTATACGTATTTATACAAATGCTGAACAATACCTTATAATAGAGATGCCATCAGAAACTTGAATCTTATTGGTTATAAGTTTATTTAGATTCGGCTTTGTAACTTTCAAATTGTCGAAATTTATATTATTCTGAATTATGCAGAATGTTAGCGTTTAGGTGTCGTTGTAGATGAACAAAAGTTTCAGCATAAAACAATCTGTTTTGTCCAAGCCAAATAATATCAAGATAAAGGTTGACCGGCGTATTGAACTTGATGATGGACATTGAGCAGATAGCTTTTTCAAAAACGATAACACTTAGGTTTTCCAGTCAGCGGTTTATAAAAACTCGAGGTTGGTTGGTAGACTTCGCTTTCTTGACACCTACTATTCCATCATTTTTGTCCAGAGAATTTTAATAGTATTAGTGTTTTAAGGTTGTCTAAACTATAAAAAATCTATCGATGATATAGGAAACTTTTGCAAGATCTTTCCCCGGTTGTATCGGTTTGCTTATAAAGTATGTAATTCAGTATAGTTTGTTTGAAAAGTTCCGTAACTTTGGTCAGATACCTAAGCTTTGGTTTTCTTGGTAAATTTCTGAGGAAATGGCACAAAAACGGCAATTTTTTTTGGAATATCTCCAAAATGTATGGGCAAACTTTTGCCTTTTCCCTAATATTTCCACAGAATCTTGTAACACGGGTTTTTCCCCAAAATTTTAAGACTTTGAGGAAAACTTTAGTTCCTCAAATGTTCTCTAAAACAGGGAGATCGCGTTTGATTAACATCTTTTAAAGCTGATCTATTAATGTATAATTCAAAAAATGTGATTACATTATGTGTTTGTCTTTCACTCTTCTCCCAGTTCATATTCATAAACTTACTACTACGTGTGTTTTCTTCGTGGAATAATAGTGGTTTCACAGCCTCTCGCTAGTTAAGTGTTGAATAGCATAGTTCCGACCGAATCAGCACTGAACGTCATGAACGTCTAGCTTTTTGCCAAGATATCTGTAAATGTTACACATTGAATGTCTGTATACCGCTGTGACCCTGACCCTAAAAGTGTATAGCTAAGAAACTTGACATAAAGTGTAAGTAGTCTTCCGTACGGCTGTTGTTGTTGAAGGAATCACTGGCAAATCACTTTCCCCACAACGTCTCAACTATCATCACCTTTGCACAATACGTAAATTTTCAACTGTTACAACTTAAACGTGTATCTTTATGGACTGTAGTGGTTGTGCTTTTATACGTGATCACAACCTACGCTTATGTGCTGCACTAGCCATAAAAAAGCGGTTTGGAAAAAGGAAGTTAACCCTTAGTGACACGGATTTATCATAACTACATGGGTTCGTTTAAAGTGTAGAGTTCCTCGACATGGTAACAAATTTCACTTCGGTTTGGGCACCCGGGCAGTATCACAGCCCTCACACATATCAAATGAGATATGTGTGACTCATATGTATTTGGTGTTTCCTTGTACCAATATCTAGGTGTTAAAATAAATAATAAGTACATGAACTGTTATTCCAAATAATCATCATTAAGCTTTTCTGTTATGACCTCAAATAAAAGATGCGGTCCTGTATTTCTACAACCTACTGCTTATGCAGAGTATTTACAGTAGCCGCTAATTTGTTCACTTTATTATGAGTTCTCCTGACTTAATTTAGTAACTGGTTAGTACGCCAGTTCTTGAAGCAAAAGTGTAAATCAGTTCTAAATGAGAATTTTTTTGGTGACATGTGCCGTTTGGGGCTTAAGAAGAACTGTCTTATTTCATACACTAGTAGGGAGTTTATCTTACAATTCAATTATCTTTGTTAACGCTGGTAAATCTTTTTTCCGTAGAATTCTAGTGACTATCCTGCAGTTGGAGCTTTTTAAATATCGGCTGCTAACAAATTGTGCAATTATTAAATGAAGTATTAGGATAAACTGTGGTCATGATTATAGGATAATTTAAGCTATAGTTTTGGGGATTGTTATTTATTATTATTATTATTTTAACACATAAGTATAGGTACAGGGAGGCACCAAGTACATATGCGCCACACGAATCTCAATTGATTTGTGTGAGGGCTGTGATACTGCCCGGGTGCCCAAACCGAAGCAGGTGGTTTTCTTAGGGGGCCACACTGTTTGTAACTCCCATGTTTCAGAATTGTTCTTTTTATTCATCTTACCATAGCTAGGTTAACTAGTTCGACCAGGGAAATGAAGTCTTCATCCTCACTTTACATAGAGTGGTTTCAAAATCTGTCATCGTAATGCTTCATAATAAATTGCCACAATTGATTGTGTTGTCACAAATAAAATGAATATATGTTTATGGATGGTGCAGGTAGTTATGCATCACTTTTCTAAATTTAAATTTGTCTTTAGTTTTTTTCAAACAGATAGGTTTCCAACTTCATCTATCTACGTAGAGTTTCTCTTTACAACCTTGCAGTTGGTTTTCATTTGGCTCTTTTTGAACTAATAGTATGTTTTCAGACTCTGTTCTTCATATATTTTCTCAGCCAGTGATAATATAACTTATTTATCAAGTGCAAACTCGTGTACTCGGCTCCAAGCTACACTTGATGTAAATGCTGGTAAGGCTCCTGACCGTAGCTGCTACCTTGACGTGGTGGTCGGGCTTGCCTATCATGGTGATCCAACTGAGCTATACTGGCTGAAACATATGTTTCCATAGGTTCTACCATGCCAGGCAGGTTGATTGGAGAACGGTAAGACTAAAAGCAGCAACTCAAGGTCTGAGGGCGAAGTCGTACTACTGACTGTACAGAGGTGTGATAGCAGTAAGGTGTTTCCCTCGGACAACCAGCATCTGCAGCGATGCTGCCTTCTCACAAGGAAGGGGTTAGAAAAGGTTAACCCTAAAAATGTCACACCTCACCTTACCCCACGGATTTCCGTCTCCGGCAGAACACTTTAGGGATCAGTTCAACTGACCTTCAGCCACACTTCGGTTTCCCACGATCTCCAATCTACCTGAATGGCAAGTTAGTGTAAGTCCTCCGACTCTGTTCGAAGTTGAAAAAGCTATAGGAAATCTGAAGCGTGGGAGAGTAGCAGGCCATGACAGGTTTACCCCTGAGATTTTTAAGGATGGTGGTCCAGTATTAGCAGCGAGATTGACTGAGGTCTTAGGTAGAGTCTGGAAACTGGACGTAATCCCATCTGACTGATCTCAATCACTGATTGTGCCAGTCTATAAGAAAGGACAAAAGTCTTCTTGTGACAATCACAGAGGTATTAGTTTGACTAATATAGCGTCTAAAATATTAGCATCAATAATATTTCGACGCCTAACCAAAGCTCGTGAAGAGCAGACTAGAGAAAACCAGGCTGGTTTCCGACCTGGACGTGGTTGTATAGATCAAATATTCACACTACGTCAGGTCCTAGAACATAGACACACATTCAGACGCCTCACAATGGTAGTATTTCTCGACCTTAAGGCGGCATAAGGCTCTGTTGATCATGAGGCTTTGTGGCAGTGTTTGTCACTGAAAGGAGTACCAAAGAAGTACATTAACCTTGTAAAGGCTCTCTTCTCGAACACAACAGGTAGAGTGAGAACATATGGCGAACTGTCATCAGAACCGATTACCTCAAGTAGTGTTCGTTAGGGCTGTCCACTCTTTCCATTCTTGTTTAACTTTGTCGTTGACGTGCTTTTAGAAATAACACTTTCCACATCTGACTTTCCAGGGGTTGGACTTTTACCGAAAGATTCACTTGTTGACTTAGAGTATGATGATGACATAGTTCTATTTGGTGAAGACACTGACAAAATGCAGTCTGCTGACCACTCTAAGCAACAATGCAAGCATGTTCGGCATGCGATTTTCTCCCTCGAAATGCAAAATGTTGCTTCACGCTTAGGTTGCACTGCCACCCGAACTAATGATAGAGAGTGAAGTAGTTGAGCGTGTCGACCGCTTCACTTATCTCGGAAGTCTCATCAGCCCTTGTGGTCGGGTGTGTGACGAAATCTCAGCACGGATACAGAAGGCTCGACTAGCTTTTGCCAACTTGCGTCATTTGTGGCGTAGGTGAGATATCCGTCTATCAACCAAAAGGCGGGTTTACTGCGCAGCAGTTCGTTCCGTCCTACTTTATGGCAGTGAAACATGGCCAGTAAGAGTAGAGGATATTCGTAGATTACTAGTATTTGATCATAGGTGTCTTCGAAACATTGCTCGTATATCCTGTGACCATCGGGTAAGTAACTCAGTTGTTAGGAAACGGGTACTAGGTAAGAATGGCAAATCAATTGATGAAGTAGTGAAACTTAATCAGTTGAAATGGCTGGGACATGTGTTGCGCATGCCAGATCACCGACTGCTCCGACGTGCGATGTTTCATGGTGTAGGAGTACGTTGGAAGAAAGCTAGGGGCGGCCAGACCAAAACATGGCACAAATCCATGAAGTCACTGACAAGTGGACTGAGCCATGTTGGTAGGTGTAGACTACCTGGTTGGGATCCGCGAGATGATAGCAACAGATGGTTAGAGACCTTGAATGACATGGCTCGAAATCGTTTGCAATGCTGTAGGTCCATCCACTCTCTGTGTTCTCTCAAACTCTAATCTTCTGTATTCTTCATGTCCTTTATTTTCTTTCCGAATCTATTCCACTGGACTATACTCCTTAAATAACATCATCAAACTTTAATGTTCCCTATCACTACTTATACTTTCACTACCTCTGTGTTAATGTGGTATGGCAACTCGAACTGATGCACGTACGTACGAAGTTCCGCGTTGTTACTGACTGTTTTATTATTTATTTATTTTATTTGAACACATAAATATTGGTACAAGGGGGCCCCGAATATAAATGCGCCACACAAAACAATGAGAATTTAAAGAGGAGAAAAAAAAGTAATGAACGTAGAGAATTATAAAAAAAGAGAGAGGGAGAGAACAATAATGGGGGAAACGGAAAGGTACAATCAGAAGAAATCTTTAAGTTAAAGAAGGAGCAACCACTTTTAATGAAAAAAGTAATAGAAGGTTACAGCAGGATCGCCACTAGCTTCTATTCTGAGCCATATCTGATAACGTCTCTAGCCACTGTGTTACACCATCTCTCGGACCCCAGCCAGGGAGTCGTGAAGGACCAACACAAGCCAGCCCTTTGCAGCTTTCTTTCATACCACGACACCATGTCATACACTGACCACCTCTCCGCTGTTTCCAACCAGTCCCAGAGTCGGCAAATAATGCACGACGAGGAATTCTCTGGGACGACATGCGTAGGACATGTCCAAGCCACCGAAGTCGGTGTTTCAAGATGGTGACACCAATGGAATTATCGTCTCTGTGCCCAAACACACGATGCCGAACCTCTGCATTACTAACATGTTGTTGCCACTGGATTTCAGCAATCCTTCGGAGACAGTGATGATCGAACACAGAGAGTCGTCTAACATCCTCAACTCGGAGAGGCCAAGTTTCACAAGCATAGAGCAAAACTGCTCTCACCGACGCGTTGTAGATCCGACCTTTTACAGACAGACTAACATCACGAAGGCGCCAAAGATGGCCCAGATTGGCATAAGCCGCTCTGGCTTTCACTATACGTGCATTGATCTCATCACTCACACCACCACCAGCACTTATGCAGCTACCTAGATACACGAACTTCTCGACAACTTCAATCTGCTCACCATCCACAGTGAGTACAGGATTAGAATCCTGCCAGTCTTGTAGGAGTACTTTGCACTTCGAGGGTGCAAAGCACATACCATACTTACGGACACTGATTGCCAACTGATCTAGTGCGGATTGCATGGCTTGGGCATTCTCGCACAGTAAGACAATATCATCCGCATACTCAAGGTCGAGGAGTCTTTCTCCAGGCAACAGATTTACACCGCCATTACTTGCATCCATCAGAGCTGTTTCCAGAATGTCATCGATGGCAAAGTTGAAGAGGAATGGTGAGATTGGGCAAACCTGTCTCACTCCACTGCTTGAATGGAATAATGTAGAAAGGTGGTTGTATGCCCTCACTCTGCATGAGGTGTTTGTGTATAGGGCTTTTAGGATGTTAATGAACTTCTCAGGCACACCCTTCTTCAATAGACAATCCTAGAGAAGAGACCTATCCAAGGAATCGAAGGCAGCTCTCATGTCAAGAAACACTACGATTGTTGGCCGTTGATAAGTATGGCGGTGTTCTAACATTTGGCGGAGGGTGAAGATATGATCAATACATCCTCGACCTGAACGAAACCCAGCCTTCTCCTCGCGAGTCAATCTTTCTCGGGTTTTGAACAACCTACGAAGTATAACGGAAGCCAATAGCTTGGACGCAATCGGAAGTAGACTTATCCCCCGATAGTTCTTGCATAGGTGACGTGAACCCTTTTTAAAGATAGGGACAACTATCGACTCGTTTCATGGTTTTGGAACACTCTCTAGCTCCCAGACCTTTGTAAACAACACAGTCAGTTTCTTAACAAGAAAGTCACCACCATCTTTAAAAAGAGCCGGGGTTAAGTAATTTCAACCCCGTGATTTGTAGCGGATCAAGAGTTGGAGTTCCTTGCGGACTTCCACCTCATTTGGTGGATCAGTCGTCACCGGCCATGGAGGGTAGGACAGTGTGACCGATGTTGCCTGAGCAGCAGGCCAGTTGAACTGCCCCTCGAAGAATTCGTCCCATCGTCCAAGACGTCGATGGATGTTAGTGATTGGTGTTCCGTCACCCTCTCAGATTTTTTCGCTCACACCAGACTTATTGCTGCCAGTGGCTCGGATGAGTTGGAATAGCTTCCGGTAATTACCAGATGCAGCTGCTGCTTCCAGCTCACTAGCACGCTCCGACCACCAGGCTTCTCGGTCCTTACGCAAGCTTTGCCCGATTTCATTACGCAACATCCTCCGTCTGTGGTCAAACTCACGGTCACCCGGAGTAGACCGACGGGCTTCAATCAATTGTAAGGAACCAGAAGAAACCCAGTGCTTGTAAGTGGGACGTTTCGCAAACCCACAACTGACTTTACCCGCCATTTTTATGGCGTCATGCAATTGCAACCAACGCTTATCTATACTTTTCGGTGGAATGGTAGCTAGCTTAGAAGCTAGCTTGGTTCGGTACTTACTAGCAACAGAAGTTGCAGCCAGCTTGCTAGCATCGATCCTTTGGTGGCGGTCACTTCGTTGGCCACTGAAAAGTAAGGTAAGATTGGCGCAGACCAGGGCATGATCAGATTCCAGATAGGTACTCCAAAAGGAGCGGCAGTCTTGTACACAACCACGCCAGCGGTAGCTGATCGCGATGTGATCAATCTGAGTTCAGGCTTGAGATGCAGAGGGAGGGCGCCAGGTGGCACTTCGGCGATGACTGCCGAAAGTTAGTGCTAGCTAGAAACAGGTTGTGGTCTGTGCATAGTTGCAGTAGATGCTCCCCGTTATCTGTCCTGCGACCAACAGGTCCCCATCAGCCACCTAAACGACTCTCTTCTGCGCCTAGACGCCCGACCTGAGCATTCAAGTCTCCGGCTAGTGCTACAATATCTGACGAACGCACTTTCTGGTGAAGAACAGATAACTGGTGATAGAATTCATCCTTGATTGCATCCGGGCTGCAATCTGTCGGGGCACAGGCGGAGATGACGAAAAGATATCGTTTCTCACGCCGATTTCTTCTCACTTTGATGGAACTTTCTAATCTAACAGCACATAACCAACTGTTAATGGGGATATAATCGATTAGTGCTGCCTCAGCCCTGGTGCTTAGTGCGACACTAACGCCAGCAAGGCCAGACGAAATGCCACAGGGTCCCCGGATAAACGCACGTAAAACAAGCTTTTTGAAGCGACAGATGGAGAACGAACTTGTAGTACTTCACCAGAGTCTTGAATACGGGTCTCGGATAGACAACACACGTCAATATTAAGACTTTCCAAAGACATAGCCAGCCCTATCTGTTGTCCGACCTGCATAAGTGTGCGAACGTTGAAGGCAGCCAGTTTGAATGGTGCACGTGGTTTCAGATAAACTGCTTCAGTACTCGTATTCGGTGGTAACATACAATTTTCAACTAGGCAGTGTCTCGAGAACGTTTAGATAGAGCTGAATGGCAACATCATCTTAGTAATGCAGAGGTTCGACATCGTGTGTTTGGGCACAGAGACGATAATTCCATTGGTGTCACCATCTTGAAACACCGACTTCGGTGGCTTGGACATGTTCTACGCATGTCGTCCCAGAGAATTCCTCGTCGTGCATTATTTGCCGACTCTGGGACTGGTTGGAAACAGCGGAGAGGTGGTCAGTGTATGACATGGTGTCGTGGTATGAAAGAAAGCTGCAAAGGGCTGGCTTGTGTTGGTCCTTCACGACTCCCTGGCTGGGGTCCGAGAGATGGTGTAACACAGTGGCTAGAGACGTTATCAGATATGGCTCAGAATAGAAGCTAGTGGCGATCCTGCTGTAACCTTCTTCGTAAAAAGTGGTTGCTTCTCCCTTAACTGAAAGTTTTCTCCCGATTGTGCCTTTTGTTCCCCCCAATTTTGTTCTTTTTTTAATATAGATATTCCCTATGTTCCTTACTTTTCTTTTTACCTTCTCTTTAAATTCTCATTGTTTTGTGTGGCGCATATATATTTAGTGCCTCCTTGTACCAATATTTATGTGTTTAAATAAAAATGAATAAACCATCCATATAATTTTATCTAATTCTTGTAGTTGTCTGTTGCTAAATGACCAAGTAAGTAAAATCTGATAGCTCTGTGTATGAATGAGATCGTGGTGCATTCTGTATTTCAGGCACTTTTTATCCCCTTTACTATCTTTCTGAGGGATATCTAAATCAATGCTTCTTTGTTCAGGCGGTATTGGATTGCATCTGTTACCGATCCTCGTGTGTGTTCTCACCTTTGCTGCAGTCACGACTTGGTAAGTGGTTTAGAATTATCCATTATATTTTGTTTTCCATGTTATAGTCAATTTTGACTTATCATTTTATCTTTATCAGAAAATAACTGTGAAGCAAAATATTCAATAAAACAGTGCCCAATTTGAGAGTTCAGTTAATTTACAACTCAATTTACTGTCATCTATTAGGGATGCGAATAATGATGTTAAGAAATAATTATCAATATGTGTTTTCAAACGTAATTTGTATGAAGGATTCTCTCAGATAATTGTTGTACTTCCTTATATCAGTGTTGTTATTCAAAATTCTGGCAAGCTATCAGGTCCTCCACCTGTCTTTAGCGAAAACTTATATCCTAGTTAAGATTAAACTACGAGTAACTTCTGATAACTATTAATGGACCAATATTATATATATATATATATATATTCCTATTGTATAATTGTTCAGTAACTAGATTATGTGTATCTGTATTCCTCTTATTATAAGCTTCATTTTGACTTATAGATTATTACCATATGACTTACTGTTCTTAAATTATACTGAGTTTATTGATTACAATCTCCCACGTTCACAGTCACTTTTTGGCTTGATCTTGTGTAAATGTCATTTCCTATTTTATGGTGTGATGCGGTCTGTTTGACTAGTATATAAACCAAGTATGTTTGAAATAAATTATTCTCATACTGGGAGTTGTTATTGGCGTTCTGGACTCAACTGGATGGACTAGACGGACGAAAGACCAATAAGGACACTAGGCTGCTCATACCAGTGGAACGTCATTGGTTAGCACAGTACTAGGATTGAATAAGTCTTATTTCGATTGGCGAATAAATCACGTGACAACTAGCCGGGCTTAATGTCACAACAAGAACTCTCGGGTGTTTGACATTCTTTGTAGTAATCGAATAAAAGGTGATAACCCAAGGGTAGTTTCTGCGTTCATTTAGTTTAAGAATAAGGAGGTAGCTGACTTTGTAGATCGCTATATTTATTCAAGAATTTTCACCAATCATAATAACCAGACAACTGATAAAATTCGTTGCTAATAAAGTGAGCCAGTTTGGTATTTAAGGACATAATATGGTAATGGGCTACCTATCAAACGGAGTATATACACCCAAATGCCCTGGCACGACCGAGGGTGGTGAAAATCATCTCTCTCTTTCGAAATGCTCTCACATGTCCACGCGTATACAACCGCTACCAGAATAGTCCCACTCACTGCCTTCTCATGGCGGGTGTATTGTTTACGAAATTGAACGAATGTGTCTGGCTCTTTAACAGGATTGGCGGGTAAGGGAGGTCTTCCTAGGGGATTTGGGAAACCCTAACTCCAAACCAATGGTACATATAGGCCCCAGTATCCTGAGGGTACAAATGGCGTATGAACCAATTGTTGGTCACCGGCTACAATGGGACTGCATTTCCTGACGTTGCTCCACTGCCTTGTGGGTCAGACCTTTAGGTCTAAGACTCCGGGTGTGGCCCCCTAAGAAAACCACCTGCTTCGGTTTGTATATATATATATATATTCTGATTGCTCATCCAGTATTTGTTGTATCCACTACTTGTTAATTCACACGATTTCTTTTGTAGTTATTTCCTCTCTCTTACACAAGACCACATATCACCGTATTTTCCGTACATCAGGTAAGTATTTATTATGAAATCTGAGGAATTTAATTAGTTATTTAAACATATATGCCTGATTCATACTAAGCCAAAAGTTGAACGTGTGAAAGAATAAAAGAAGTTTAACATGCTGCACTTTAAAGCTTCAGTGTCAAGCCCACTTGCTGACTTAAACGTAAATTAGTTTTTTCCTTTTTGTATTGTGGGTGATAAACACTCGGCAGTCGGAAACTAAAAAAAGCATCTATTTAGCCCTTCATGTGATATCATTCATTGATGTAGACAGAGGTAAGCTGTTCAACTTGTACTAATTTTATTCGTAAAGTGAAATACAATAGTCTTTTATCAAATGATGGATGTACTCTTGTTGATTTCGTATTTTTAAAAATGTATTTAATTACATAAACATTGTTACAATAGAGCCCACAATAAAAATGAGATTGTGAAGAAATAGTGAGAAGGCGAGTATAGCATAAAACGAGAACAGAATGGGTAGAAATTAGTATACGACATTAAAAACAAAACCAGAAAGGAATCTTTCGGTGTAAGAAATTCCCCCCACTTTTATGAAAAAAGTAAAATCGTTACAGTAGGATCGCCACTGGCTTCTACTATGAGCCATGTCTGGCAACGTTGATTCACCTCTAGGACTCCGACCACGTCGTCGTGAAGGTTCGACGGGAGCCACTCCTGTGGAGCTTTTTGTCATACCATGAAACCATGTCATATACTGATCACCTACACTTAAACAACCAGCGTCTGCAAATAATGCACGATTTGGGATTCGCTGAAATGACATCCGTAGGACATTCCCAAGCAACTGAAGTTGGTGTTTCAAGACAGTGACAGCAATTGAATTATCGTCACTGTCTTCGAACCTCCTGATTATTAACATGTTGCTTCTGTATGTCAGCAGTACTTCAGAAAACGCGATGATCAAACGAAGTCGCTTAACATGCCCAACTTGGAGAGGTCAGGTTTCACAAGCATAGAGTAAAATTGCTCTTACTGACGAGTCGTAGGTCCGACCTTTTACAAGTAGACCAACATCATGAAGTCGCCAAAGTTGACAAGGAATAGTGAGATTGGGCAACCCTGTCTAACTCCACTGGTTGATTGAAACAGTGGAAAGAAGTGGTTGTATGTTCTTACACTGTCTGAGGTGTCATTATATGGGGCTTTCGAGATGTTAATAAATTTCTTAAGCACACCTTTCTTCAACAGACGATCTCATAGAATAGTCCTTTCCAACTAAGCTAAAGTGGTCCTGATATCAAGAAACACTACGATTATTGGCCTGTAATAAGTATGGTGGTGTTCTAACATATGGCGTAGGGTGAAGATATGATCAATACATCTTTGACCAGAACAAAAACCAGCCTACTCCTCGCTAGTCACTTTCCCGGGTCTTGAACAGTCTACACATATAAGTCATATTTTGTCATTACCTAGATTCGAACTTGATTTTAGTCAAAAATATTAGCTAAATATAATTGTATACGAATATTCGTCAAGATTAGAACGAATAGTTTGTGTTTTAAACCATAGTTCATGATATGTTTAAGTGGTTTATATACATGTGGTGTATTCAGTGTTATATAACTGAAAATTATGTCCGCCAAAAGTTAAGATTGTACAATGAATATCATTCTTGTCGCACTTCAGTGCAATGGCGTAATGGTCAAAGTAATCAAGACCCTTCTTCATTTACATATGTCTGTGCAATCAGATAGTATCACTAACCCCCGTACAAATGTGTGACCCACTGCTGAGTGCATAAGCTTGTGCATGGTAAATGAGTCACGTTACATACATTTTTATGTTCTTGTATACTGTAGGATAATTTCAAACTATCTAATATGAATAATCGGAAAATGTATATTTTAGTAAATATTGATAATTGAATTACTGCGTGTGTAAGTCGACTAGCTAGGAATAATTCCGCTTCAAAATGTTGGAGAAAATAAAATTTTATTGATCAAAGCGTGTTTGAGAAATTTATATTTTCCTATGGCATATATGTGTTGAAATTTTACTTAGCGATCAAATCGGATCCAGTGGTAAACTATGAAATATCTAATCAAATCGGATAGTTATCATGTCCTATAACTGATTCATAAAAGCAAGATAATGAATTAAGAGAAATACTGTTACCAATCTTATTAGTCCATTGAAATTAACGGTTTTATCAAATAATCTACATGGTTTATTTTTGCTTTTGTTTATGTTTGGATTTTCGCCTCAGTCAACCACAACGGAAACTGTCACAAATATTTGTTAGTCCAAGTTGCCGTAACTGCATAAACATTGAGAGACGAAATTAACAAGGGGAACAAACAAAACTACCGGAGTAATAGTAGTATCATTGATGGTGAGAAATCTTGGAGAATACGGTTCGTAAACAAGAGCTGAATGCAACTGATAAAAAGTACGAAATAAGATTGAAACTCAGGACTTAAGAGATGATAAAAAGTGAATGCTTATGTGTTAATCCATATGTACCTATTCAAAACCACTTAGTGAGATTGAAACGGGTGAAAATTTGTTTCGACTGACAATTTGTTTGGGGCGACTCGGTTCGAGTTTGGGAAGAATAGAACACTAGACGGCATGTGTTATTCCTTATGAAAAGTTTTGTAATTATCATTAAAGCAATAGATCCTAAATCTGAGTCTCTTGGTTAACATAAACGCTAGGATTCAAGTGAATTCAACTAACCAGTCCTAAATTGGAAAAAAACACCTACTTAATTCCACTGCCAGTCAGAAAGTATGGTTTATAGTTTAGTAGCTCTCAAAAGAATGTATGATTGACCGAAATGTTAGTTAATTTCTATTAGGAAACGTTTTACATGGTTAATATTATAAAGAGTAACCGTATATAAGGCAAAAATAACTTATTTTTCATTGTTACTACCATTATTAGAAATATAAATTCCAAGTGGATCTAAACTGTTTTCTTCTCACTCTTCTTTTTCTTTTTTAAAATATCTAAGTGATGCTGGTTCAAAGATCCCAGAAAGTTGTATTTTTGGTCAAATATTAAATATTGTTTCAGTTTTGGGTAAATGACAAATAACATAGTTCACATTGTTTAATATTCTGTTAATGTAATGTACTTCAATATGTATATTTAAAAATTTGATATGTAAACATAATTAATAGGTCGTAATTGAACTTACGTGTCATCCTTATCATTTATCTGTATGAGAGATTAATGTGTCTTTAGACCTTAAAGTTTTCATTATATATATATATATATATATATATATATATATATATATATATATATATATATATATATATATATATATATATATATATATATATATATATATATATATATAATCGTATATAATTAACTATATGATCTAGTCATTGTAAAGTAACCATATATTATATTAATTGTTGGTAGAAGAATCTATGGACAAAAAAATTCTATGTAATTAGTAAAGAGTCAAGTGTCAATGTATCAATAGACTAGCACTGTTTTATTTTCGACACGAGGTTAAACAAAATAAATATTTATTGGGATTCTTTAAAATGATATCTATCTAACAATAAATACCTCAATGTTTCTTACTCTATATGTTTTGTCTATTTGTTTCATGTCATTAAATTATAAGCAATGATACAGTTTGTGATTTATTCAACGTTATTCATCATCGAATACTTCATTTCGACTAGTGACATCATAAAACAATCGTCAAATAATTATTAGCGAAAGCAGTATTTGTAGTCACTATCACATATTCGATTGTTAGCGAACAACAATCTTTGTTACTTTAATAAAAAATACTTTCATAATGTTTTGAAAATTTATAATTTATCTGGATATACTTGAATACTATATTAGTGCTTTTATTATTAGCACACATAGACTGTAACATTTCCTGATATTAGCAGTGATAGTAATAGTAACACTAAGAAAGTTTTCAATTAATCAACAAGTTTAATTGGTATAACTAATTAGAATGGTTGGATTCCTAACTGAATGTATAACCTCTGCTTAATTTTGTTGACCTAATCTATTGATATGTTGTAAATGATTAGGTGAAACTTGTTTAGTTGTATTTTTACCCCTTCTGTGTAGATATTTGCTGAAGATATATGCTATACATCCTTACTGTATCAGCTACTCTGATGGATAGTGCAGAATTAAGTTACAAATATATGGATAAGTTTATGTTTAGTTTTCTATTACCATCGGTATAATTATTTCCACTTATCACTACTGAACTTGCTAAATTCCTCCCATTGTTCTGTTGTGAAATGTGGCGAGTTGAATCGTTGAACACATTTGTCAGCTCTTACATTTGTTTATAAATATAACTAACTATTCGAATAGGTTATTTTTTGGTCACCATATAAAAAGTTGCAGGATACCCTGAGGTAATATTGTATACGTGCTATACAATATTTGTAATTATTTTATTGATCTTGTATGTCATTTGGTTGAACAACATTATTTAGGAATACATGTTGCCTTTCTCTCTCCCACAATTTTTTCACAATCATGTATTATTTATCGTTTTTTCTTACTGCTGTCTTCTGTTCGTTATAATAATAAAGCAGGTTTATGCTTCTACTCATGGCATAGACATTTGTTAGATTGTAGTCAAAAATTTAATCATCAATGTTATCGTCAAATTAGATTGGCTAGAGTTGCTTTGTGTTTTGGTCTTATATGTGCAGTTGGTATGAGTATAGTAGCCAATTTTCAAGTAAGCCAATATTATAAATTATTATATATTTCTTATAATTTTCAAATTTTAAAAACACCACTGTATACTTGTATCCAAATATTTCTCTGATTATTGTCAATTTATGTGTAATAATGAACATTGTAATAAGTTTATGTTACAATTACTTATTTGATGTTGTATATGCAAGTAAATTATTTTTCGAAGTTTCTCACTTTGATTATTGAACAATTGAAAACTAGGAATCACTAAACAGCTGTTTTGTCCTATCATTAGCCCACATTCATTACTTCACCAAAAAAGAAATATGTGATTGTATGCTTATACATGTAAAATAAGCAAATTAATTATTCAGAATTAAATGAAATATTTTTGAGAAAACAAGAATCTATACAACTGTGAATTAGCAATGTGTTTAAGCACACAATTTTTCAGTTAGGTCAGCTTTTGCTGCCTGTTTTTCACATAATGTTCTAGATAAAGTGTTACAAAGCTTGTATACTTTTGCTTGCATCCATGAATTGTAATTTATCTTCGTCTCATCTTGTCAGGAAGTATACAAGAATAAATATGTAAATGGAGTGAGTGATTAGTATTTGATAAACTAACACCTCCAGAAGTTTGCAAGATTTAAAATGTCTGTTTACAAACATTCACAATGGCATCATTGATTCATCACATACCTTACTAATTACCTTTAGCACTCTTCACAATACAGCGAAATCGTTTCTCAAAAGTCCAAAAAATAATGAGAGGTAGTAAAGCATGATATATATAGTACAAGAATTTACAAATCGTAAGAGTAAATATCGGTTAATGCCAAAAACATGTAACCTCTTCACATAAGACTGACAGGATTTTCTTCGATAATAATATAACATAAGGAGATTAAGAGGAATCAGAGGTAAATGAACTTTGACATATTTTTAACTACAGAATCTCCAATCATTAAAACCAATGTTATTCCAACAGGATGTTTAAGTAGTTTTCATTTCTCAGATTGAAGTTAACAGATTTACATTTAGAAGGAATAAGTGTAAGACCATTAAAAATGGACCGTTGTCCAATAGGCGCTAAGAACTCATTCATTTCAAGGCGATTTTAATAGGAAAAAACTTGTATATGCACAGGTAGTTCATCCGCATACTTAAAAAGTGATTTTTGTAGAAGATGGAAGATCATGAAAAATAAAGGAGAAAAGTAAAAACAGAAGAGCGGCTCTTCGTGGAACACAAGGTTGAGTTAATAAAGAGGAATAAGCACAGTCGGCCGGTTATCTAGCTGTCGGTGCTAACGCTAGCAAATTTTCTAAATGATAGTGGTTTTGGAACAGTGTCAAATACAGAAGTATGGTCTAGAAATGCTCATCAAACATATTTCTCATCCTTCCAAACTGAACATTATGATGCAGAACAACAGCAGCACTTGTAAGCAAATTGATTTCACTGGTCATTTTCCTCTGACTTTAAATAGTTTTTAAATATTGAAACAGTTTCCACAAGATAATGGTTTTTATGGATACATCAAAGTTGGATATTGATTTTTGGCTTATCAGACCATTTAGCCTTCAAGTTTCGATAGAATTTTTTCCTTACACAGCCCTTCTTTTTCTTTCCTAAATCTTTTTAGTTGAGGAGATGTAAGTCGTTAAATCTTACAAAAATCGTTTCACTGAGACAATAAAAATTCAAAGCACAATTTAAGGTAAAAAGTGGCAAAATCAACAGTGTCATTTGTAAATAAGTCACAGTTTGCCGTTTGTTTAAGACATGTTTTTCATGTCTTGGATATTTGTCTCTGATTAGCTTCTAAATTTAACTTTTATTTGTATAATGTAAAAGTGTACTCTTTCCAAGCTTGGCATATGCGCTCTTCTAATTCTTTCCCTTGGTTTATTTATTGAGGTTGAGTGAAATAGTATAGGATTTTACACTATATTCTGCTTTATAAATGGAAAATTTTCATAAAAAGTTGGTAGTGCGAAGAGGTTATATATGTTTAATTACTATCACTTTTCTAGTATTGTTGATATATTGCCGAACAACTGAACGCATAATTATTAATTCGGAAGTAAATTATCAATTGAAAACTAGTTATTATCTGATGAAACGGGAAATCTAATATTCTTAGCTCTAACTGCTATGGCACAACTTCGTCTCCTTTCATATGATCCTATCTAACTTTAAAAAAAAACACAACTGACGAATTTATTAGATTAATCAAAGATAATATATAAATATACCGTTTGATATTTGTAAAACAGTAAGTGTTACAATTTATTCTTCGAAGTGAGAGAGTAGAATATTTGTTACACTCTTAACATGCCGTTGTGTTTTGAGTAACAGTATGCATTTGTCGAACATAAAAGTTTCACTGGTTGAAATCATGAATCCATTGAAGCTAGAGCACCATGGAAAACCTGGAAGCACTGGATGGCCGTTTCGTCCTAGTATGGGACTCCTCAGCAAGGCGCATCCACGATCCCGCTCCTCACGAGATTCGAACCCAGGACATATCAGTCTCGGGCCAGGCGCTTAGCCAACTAGACCACTGAGCCGGATCGTGGATGCGCACTGCTGAGGAGTCCCATACTAGGACAAAACGGCCATCCAGTGCTTCCAGGTTTTCCATGGTGCTCTAGCTTCAATGGATTCATGATTTCAACCAGTGAAATTTCTAAAATCTCCCCAGAATCCCTTCTGATAATAATAATCATCTGCTCACTAGTGACTGACTTCAAGTGATACTCCTGGAGTTCTAGTGAGAAGCCGTTACCAGTGGAGTTCAACAAGATCTGCTGTGAGATATTAGCTCACTGAGGACAATGGTGTACGGTGGCGCAACTTCGTGGATTGGTTGAAGTTAGACATTAACAGCGTTGGATGCCGCTTTTAAGTAAAGGAAGACCACAATTGTCGGACGCCGATAAGTATGCATGTGTTCTAGAACCTGACGAATGGTGAATATGTGGTCGATGCAGCCACGACCAGGCCTAAAGCCAGCCTGATTTTCTTGTGTTTGCAATTCACGAGTCTTAGTTAGGCGTCCGATAATTATCAAGGCTAGTATTTTGGATGCTATATTAGTCAAACTGATCCCACTATGGTTATTACAGGATGATTTTGACCCTTTTATATATATTTGGAACGATCAATGATTGTGACCAGTCAGTGGGAATTACGTCCAACTTCCAGATTTTAGCTAAAATATTAGTCAACCTAATCGCTAAAACTAGACCACCATCTGGACCAGCTACCCTTCCTCGTTTCAGATTAGCTATAGCCTTTTGAACTTCAGCTAGCGTTGGGGGACCTACTTCAATGTTCCATTCATACTGTCTGGGAATATAGGGTAGTTGTAGAGTAGCTGAAGGCCAGCTAAACTGCTCCTTAAAGTGTTCCGCCCATCGTTCTAAACGTCTGGACTGGGAGCAGATGAGTGTCGTTTTTTTCTGAAATAGTCTGACTTACACTTGGTTTATTAATTCCAGTTTCTTTTATTAGTCTGTAGAGTTGTTTTGTGTTCCTTTGCTTTCGTTGCCCACCACTGCTCACAATCGTTCTTTAGACTTTTGCTTAACCTAGATCTGGTTTCTTTACGCTCTTTATCGTGTTCAGAGCCTGATGGGATGAGTTTGCGAGAATCCATCAGTGCAATAGACCTTGAAGAAATCCATTGGTTCTTTGTAACCATTTGGTTTAAATCACTAGTAGATGTCACTGCTGTCTCCACAGCTGCTTGTATAACTTTCCAAGCAACATCTGGGTCAGCCTCGTTTTCAGAACTAACTAAGTGTGACCTCAGTTGTTCCTGGGACCTACTTTTGGTTTTCTCATCACTGAATTCAATTCTAATGAGTCTTCTTATGGTGGCCTTTGTGCGTCTAGTGAGGCGCGAGCAGATGCGTGGTCGATGCAGCCACGACCAGGTCTGAAGCCAGCCTGATTTTCACGTGTTTGCAGTTCACGAGCCTTAGTTAGGCGCCCGAAAATTATCGAAGCTAGTATTTTAGATATTATATTAGTTAAACTAATGCCTCTGTGGTTGTCACAGGATGATTTTGACCCTTTCTTAAATATTGGGACGATAAGTGATTGTGACCAGTTAGATGGGATAACGTCTAACTCCCAGATTTTAGCTAAAATATTAGTCAACCTAATCGCTAAAACTAGACCACCATCCTTAAAGACCTCTGGGGCCAATCCATCTGGACCAGCTGCCCTTCCTCGTTTCAGATTAGCTATAGCCTTTTGAACTTCAGCTAGCGTTGGGGCACCTACTTCAATGTTCCATTCATACTGTCTGGGAATATAGGGTAGTTGTAGAGTAGCTGAAGGCCAGCTAAACTGCTCCTTAAAGTGTTCCGCCCATCGTTCTAAACGTCTGGACTGGGAGCAGATGAGTGTCGTTTTTTTCTGAAATAGTCTGACTTACACTTGACTTATTAGTTCCAGTTTCTTTTATTAGTCTGTAGAGTTGTCTTGTGTTCCCTATAGCCGTCGCCTTTTCCATCTCTGTTGCTTTCGTTGCCCACCACTGCTCACGATCGTTCTTTAGACTTTTGCTTAACCTAGATCTGATTTCTTTACGCTCTTCATTGTGTTCAGAACCTGATGGGATGAGTTTGCGAGAATCTATCAGTGCAATAGACCTTGAAGAAATCCATTGGTTCTTTGTAACCATTTGGTTTAATTCACTAGTAGATGTCACTGCTGTTTCCACAGCTGCTTGTACAACTTTCCAAGCAACATCTGGGTCAGCCTCGTTTTCAGAACTAACTAAGTGTGACCTCAGTTGTTCCTGGGACCTACTTTTGGTTTTCTCATCACTGAATTCAATTCTAATGAGTCTTCTTATGGTGGCCTTTCTGCGTCTAGTGAGGCGCGAGCAGATGCGTTCCCGCATTAGAGCATGATCGGGGTTCAAGCAGGTATTGCATTATAAGTGACAATCTTCTATCGACCCTCTCCAACGATGACTGATGGCAATATGATCTATTTGAGTCCATCGTTGGTTTGGTGCAGAGGGTCTCCATGTTAGACGATTTCCCTCCTTATACTCAAAACCAGTGTTTGTCAGAAATAAACAATTGTCTGAGCACAGTTGCAGCAGACGATCACCATTATCTGTTCGCTGTGCCGGAATACTAAAATACCCACCTAAATGTCTTTCTGTTTAGTTTAATCTACCTTCCTGGGCATTAAAGTCGCCTGCTACGAGTACTATGTCTGAACGTTTAGCTTTCTGAAGAAGTTCAGGACCCTACTCTTGTTTACTGTTTGGGTATAATGTAATATTGTCTTCATTACTTGGGGATTCAGTATACTTTATCAAACTGTATTCGAATAACATAAAAATCTCAGATATTGGTGGTACTACTTACGCTTTTCTGAATTGTCTGTATTCCGTGATGCAGTGATTTTTTAGTTATTACTTATACTGATGATCCGAGCACTTTGTTTGATGACATATTACTTTTTATGGTTCTTTTGTTGTAGCAACCAAATATGTGCTCCTTGTTTTTATGTCCTATGTTTTAAACGTTCTATAACGTTAATTCATATGAAATACATGTATCGTTATCATCTTGAGAATAATGGAACAATGTCCTCTTACGCTCATTTTACATCATTATGCATTCAGTACTTTATCCGATTTCCTTCTAGGAAACAGCTATTTGGTCTATGCATCTCCTCGGTGCAGGTCTACTTTTTGGTGGTGGTTCGGCGTATGAACTTGCTGTCACATATATTACATATAAATATCTTGGACATAGTCAAATTCGGATTACTCGTTTAGTATTGGCATTCATTTCTGTTTCTTCATTTTTATTACGTAAGTCAGTACTAAAATATATTTGTATAGATTTGAGAAAGGTGAACCTGGATTTCTGTTAATGTCATAAAGGACTATTTAAAATTTAACATTTGTATAAATATACATTTCTCAATCTGAGAAAAGAGCGCGCATAGTTTGGCCTATATTAATTCAAGTCCATCTACATACTTCCATGTATATTCGAACTGAGTTACTAGGATATATATATATATATATATATATATATATATATATATATATATATATATATATATCACAGTGAATGTAACAATTCAATGATTTATAAAAAGATCTGCTGTTTATATCTAGCAGACTGGGTTCGTAATCATAAATCCTCGTTTTTATAAAATGAAATAAATCGAATGAAAATAAAAACAATTCAGCCAAGAAAATTTTCTTTTCGACGAAATCATTTACTTAAGCTGTACATTCGTACTTATAGTTATATGGAAAAAATATGTCTATCGAAGGATAGAAAAGACTGTATTCGAAACTTATTATCAAATGAGGTTAGTCAATAATCAAGGGGTAAGTAAAGAATTTAAGGATAAAAGTAATTTACGGGTCAGATAGTTGTCTAGTTAACAGATACAAAGAAAAACGACAAACATAAAGGTGATAATAATAAAAACTGAATAATAATCAAGAAAACTAGTTTAGGATAGTAGTAATAATAATAATAATAACTGATTACAATTTAAAATTACAAAACACCAACCGAAAAAACCAATAATAATCAAATAGAAATGAGGAAAAAAACCGAAACACCACTAAACGGAATTAGGGCCAAGAAAGGATGAAAGGTTGGACGAACCGTCTTTGTAAAGTTCGTGGGTTGTCAGTGTCTCACCAGTGCATAAAATATTGATTCGAATTCTCTTCGATCTATTTCCTTTGACTGTGTAGATTATTTTAAAAGAAGACTCCTTTGGAATGATGTCTCCATAGTTGATTAAATTCACCTGTATTGAACTAGTAATTGTTTTATATCCTCCTTTTAAAAGCCATGCCGGATAGTGTCCTGAGATGCGTCTGGATCTTGATCGGTTTGTTTGGCCAATATAACCTGCCGCACGTGAGCAAGTAAATTTGTATATGCACATTGATGTGGCCCAATGTTGAGCTTTATCCTTAACACATCCGTGAATGGTAGGCCGGCTTGAGAAAACAATTCGGAGTTTAATTGCCTAGAACGTCTTATTCAACGACTTTGAAATCCGTTTATTTACGATTTCAGCAGCCGTATCTCCTTTAAATTCCATATTCATAAAAGGGTTTTTTTGTACTGACAATGCTGTTCCAGGATGATGTCTAGGTGTTAAGTTGCTATTGACAAATCTAGGTGGATAACCATTCCTAATGAGAAGTAGTTCCTCGTCTGTTGTGTCTGTAGAACATATTCGCCTGATCCTTGAGGATAAAGAGTGAATTACGTTCCTTTTTCTACTCAGTGGGGCCCAGCTATGGAAATTCGTGTACTACCCATTCCAAGTCAGTTTTCTATATATAGAACTCTGTAAAAACCATCCAGTCTTCTTTTCAATCAGACATCAAGAAAATGAAATTTATTGTTTGCCTCTGCTTCCAAAGTGAATTGAATTGAGGGATGACAATTATTGAAAATATTCAAAATTCCATTGATGTTCATGTCTTTTTCACGAATAATGAAAGTATCATCCATATATCTCTTATATAAATGAAATCTCTCAATTATTGGTCGAAGTACCGTATTTTCAAGATTGGCCATGAAACAGTCAGACAAGAGGGGACCCAATCGAGGATCCATTACAACTACATCTGTTTGTCTATCAAAATCATCATTAAATCTAAATTGCACGTTGAGAGTACATCGTAGAAGTAGCTCTTTTAGATAATGTTTTGGCATGCAAATATCATTTTTATTTTTAATATAGTCGCATAAAAAACATGTAGTTTCGGTGAGAGGAACGCTTGCAAAAAGAGAAGTGATATCCAATAAGATCATTTTCCTACCATTTAAATTGATATTTCTAATTGAGTCGACAAAGTCAAAGGAATCAAGAGAGTTGTATCTATTGAAGTTATTGTAAATTATTAGCCTCGTCTATAAGCCGTAAACGCTTTTTCTTATATATGAGTCTTTCTCTTCTAATTTGCACAGTGTTACTAAATGGTGTATGTGTCGTTATTACGGATTTCGTGAAGTTTTGTAGGTCTTCATAGCAAATTGCCTATGTGAAAACACATATCCAGCGAAGTTCTTCAAGATTTATGTCAAAGCCAACCTACGGGTTGAATACGATACAGTGGATAAGAAAAGCTGCTCCTTATATATATGACTAATTCTTCCAAACTTTCCTTCGAATAAAGTTTACTAGCGCGATCAAAAAGGTTTCGTACAATCCCCTTTTTGTAACTTATTGGACAGAAACTGTCGTAATTTAGATAAACTCCACTCCATGTATTCTTGCGTTAGATGTGTCTTTGTAATATGCCGCAACCGCTCTAAGCAGTGCAATATCCTGGCATCCGATTGACACTGAGCATACCACTGACATTCTACAAACCTTCAAAATTATTAGCAGACAAAGTGACAATGTCTTTCCCGTTTGTCGAAGCAGTAGCAACGAAAAAGCTGAAACCTTATTTATGTATAGAGAAATTATTTTGTTGTGATCATTATTTTGTTACGTGGTCTTCTCCAAACTAATTCTTATTTTATGTACAGCAAAATCATTCCTTCATTCGTCCAAATCCTGTTCAATTATTGTGCAACCCATCTTATCGATATCTAATTCCAGTAATCTTATGTAGAGCCTTCACAACCTCTGAAATTATCACACAATCTATCTTACCTGTTTACGGACCTTATTTAATTAACGCATCACCCACCTCTAACGTGTTCTTGCATGCATATGTATAGTTATTGTTGATAACCTTTGTCATTTTAATTCTTTTTGTTCATCTACATCAATTGTTTCACATTATATCCTACCTCAGTGTTACCTTTCAATGTATATACGGTTCTAAGCAGCTGTTAAGAAATTACTAAATATAATGAATCCATATTATTCTGTCTCAATTGTTGTTCTGGCTTTATTCAAATTCATAAAGCGATCCATTGTATGAGACTATTGTTTTATGCTTTTGAAGTTTCAACTGTTTAATCTGATTGGTTCTGCAGTCTATCTCAGTATTGTTGTACATTTATTTATTTACTTTTAATAACAAAACTAGAACCAACAACTGGATTAATCGCACGTCTCATGTATGATGGTGATAATATTAGAAAATGGAAACCAACTGATCAAGTTAGTCCTTTTTTCGTTCAATAATTGCAAATGTGTTAAAATAATGAATTATTATGTCATTCTGTTGTTTGTAATAAGCTCACATAAAATCCATCAATTTGTGTTGACTGCTTCGTCGATGCTTTCAATCAATATTGTTTATCACTGACAAGATTTTTTTAAGGGTCTAGAGTAACAGCCTATATATATATATATATATATATATATATATATATATATATATATATATATAATTTGATGTGAAAATAGGCAATGTGTATCGTTTTAGTCAACATTCTTAATGCTATATATGAATTTAACAGAATATGTGTGGAGAAATAGTTAAACTTCGTTTTCGTAGACTAAAAATTCTGTAATATTTTTTTGCAGACTTACATAGTTTTGATGTTAAGCTAACGATTAAAATTGTCACACTGTATATCCTTCTTAAATTTTTTAGTGAATGGATTTAGAAACAGTTTATGATATGGATTCTATTCAAGATTACAAACAGATCTTACTGGTGAATTGCAACTAAATATCATAGAAACTTGGAACTAAGCACTCTACCAAATATTCTGAATTTTTTGGAGGTTTATAAAACTTTTGAATAATGAATTCTCTTGGATACTATCCTAAAATGTATCAATATGTTAATTATTCTAATGGAATAAATCAGTCTGGTGATTTATATTTGTGCACAAACACATTCAAACTGTAATTGACGACATTTGATCATGATAATCATTTATCTATTTATCCACATTTAGCGTACTACAACTGCACTCACTGTATATTTTCCACAACCCTGTTTACTTTATAAAAGTGACGATGTGTTTTTAGAATAAATGAAGTAGACAACAATCTTAGGGGAAGTTTTCATTCCTCGTGAGTAGTTGTGTAGCAATTAGGAGGAGTATGTAAGGTAGTAAAACGTTACATGAAATAAACGCATTTACGGCAGGCAAGAAAGTGTTTTAATACGTATGTCTGTTAGGTTTACTTTTTTTAACAGCCGCATCACGTTAACTGAAAATTGATAAAAACATTTTTCAGTGATTTAACTCAAATAGGTATTTGTGAATATTCTTCAGGTCTGAACTTCATAATATTTCAGCTCAGGAAGCCAAGTAATCTCACATGAGCTTATCAAAACATTGTAGCTCAAAGCTACATGTCAAATGAATTACGTCAAATTAGGTTAGAAATTTCTTCTCAACACACTTAAGGCTTCTGGTTTTCATCTTTCCCTAATACTTTTCATATTTTTATGTACTATGTAGTGGAAAGTTATAATCTTTGTTTCAAATCTACTCGACATTAGGTATTTATCGGAATTTCTAACATGATGTGGTACCTTTTTAACTACTAATTAGGTATTCTGTATATTAGGAATTTACTCAAACTGAATTACATGAACCAGTCCGAGTCAATTATGCAGAACAATAAAAATTATCCGACATAAAAATGGTTTTAAAAATATAGGTAACTTTTTTATTATGTGCCAATTGCAAGTTATACTAACAAATAAAATTGTTCAGTGCTCTGAAATTTCAAATTACTTGTAGTGACCTCATATATGAAATCATGGCTTACGATATGCGTTATGTTGTAATAGTGAGTAGTATCGCTTATTTGGCTGGTCAGTTGTTGGTTGTGTCCACGTGTGTATTTTTCGTTTTCATAATAGAATTTATGGGACTACAAAAAGTTCCTCACACAAATAAAATGATGAAAATTTGAAGTAGAAGAAATGTAAAAGATCGTACAACATATAAACAAGTTAACAAGAAAAACATTCTTCAAGGTGTATGGATCAATTGAAAATGCATTTAAAATAGGAGTGTCTTGGTAGTCTGTTAATTTATCAACAAAAGATCTTGATTCATTCACCGTGGTAGCTCAATTTTGTTGGACATTTTCAAAAGCCAATATTCATTTTTACTTGAGTTGGTTTTTTTTTTAATATTTTCCAATAAAGTCGATAAACTCCGCCTGGAGTCCCTTTCCGAGGGCTACTGCCGGTCCCAAGCCCGGATAAAGGAGGAGGGTTGGGCATGGGGTTAGCGACCCCATCCCGTAGAAAACTAACTCGCTAAAAAAACGCTAACCAGAAAAAATTATTCAAACCATTTAAACTCTGCCCTGGGTGTCAGGAGGTCTTCGTTTAGAAGAATTATGACGCCTCATGATGAAAGCCGAGTTTCTTCGGAAGTCACGAGGCCGATGCCCCTCCTGACAACCAGAGAAACCATTTATTTAGGTACATGGAATGCTCGCACAATGTGGGAGACTGGGAGAGTTTTCCAAATTGCTGCAGAAATGAGGAGATACAATTTAGAGGTGCTTGGGATCAGTGAAACACATTGGACGCAAGTTGGACAACAACGACTAGCTTCATGGGAGCTGCTGTTATACTCCGGACATGAACAAGAAAATGCCCCACATACACAAGGAGTTGCATTGATGCTGTCCAAACAAGCACAAAATGCACTTATAGGATGGGAATCTCATGGACCAAGGATCATCAAAGCCTCCTTCAAAACAAAGAAAACGGGGATTACAATGAACGTCATCCAATGCTACGCGCCTACCAATGACTACAATGAAGACGCTAAAGATCAATTCTACGATAGGCTGCAGTCAATCGTCGAGAAGTGCCCAACAAAAGACCTGACTATTCTGATGGGAGACCTAAATGCCAAGGTTGGAATTGACAACACCGGATATGAAGAGATCATGGGACGACACGGACTGGGAGAAAGGAACGAAAATGGTGAGAGATTTGCAAATCTATGTGCCTTCAATAAACTGGTCATAGGCGGGACTATATTCCCACATAAACGCATACACAAAACCACATGGACTTCACCGGATCACAGCACACAGAACCAAATCGACCATATCTGCATCAACAAAAAGTTCAGGAGGACGATGGAGGACGTGAGAACAAAGAGAGGAGCTGATATAGCATCAGATCATCACTTGCTGGTCGCCAAGATGAAATTGAAACTCAAGAGGCACTGGACAACGGGGAGGACAATATCACAAAAATTTAATACGGCTCTTCTTCGGGATAATGACAAACTCAATAAATTCAAGATAACCCTCAGCAATAAGTTCCAAGCCTTTCATGATCTACTCAATGGAGAAGGAACTACTATGGAGAGCAACTGGAAAGAGATAAAAGAGGCAATCACTTCAACATGTCATGAGGTTCTGGGCCAAAAGAAGCACCATCACAAGGATTGGATCACGGTCGATACACTGGATAAGATTCAAGAAAGGAGGAACAAGAAAGTAGCAATCAATACCAGTCGAACAAGAGCAGAAAAAGTCAAGGCACAAGCTGAATACACAGAAGTAAACAAGCAAGTGAAAAGGAGCATCAGAACCGACAAACGTAAATATGTGGAAGATTTGGCAATGACGGCGGAAAAGGCTGCCAGAGAAGGAAACATGAGACAACTGTATGAAACAACAAAGAAACTCTCCGGAAATCACCGTAAACCAGAACGACCAGTGAAAAGCAAGGAAGGCAAGATAATCACCAACATTGAAGAACAACGAAACAGGTGGGTAGAACACTTCAAAGAACTCTTGAATCGACCAGCCCCACTGAACCCACCCAACATCGAAGCAGCACTCACGGACCTCCCAATCGATGTTGGCGCACCGACAATTGAAGAAATCAGCATGGCTATCAGACAAATCAAGAGTGGCAAAGCAGCAGGACTAGACAGCATTCCAGCAGAGGCACTGAAAGCAGACGTAGCGGTAACTGCAAGGATACTCCAAACTCTCTTCACAAAGATCTGGGATGAGGAACAGGTACCAAAAGACTGGAAAGAAGGACTTCTAGTCAAAATACCAAAGAAAGGCGATCTCAGCAACTGTGACAACTACAGGGGAATCACTCTTCTTTCAATACCGGGAAAAGTCTTCAACAGGGTATTGTTAAACAGGATGAAGGACTCCGTAGACGCCCAACTTCGAGACCAACAGGCAGGATTCCGTAAGGATAGATCGTGCACAGACCAAATCGCAACTCTACGGATCATTGTGGAACAATCAATTGAATGGAATTCATCACTCTATATCAACTTCATTGAATATGAGAAAGCATTTGATAGCGTGGACAGAACAACCCTATGGAAGCTTCTTCGACACTACGGCGTGCCTCAGAAGATAGTCAATATCATACAGAATTCCTATGATGGATTAAACTGCAAGATCGTTCATGGAGGACAGTTGACAAAGTCGTTCGAAGTAAAGACCGGTTTCAGGCAAGGTTTCTTACTGTCACCCTTTCTCTTTCTCCTGGTGATCGACTGGATCATGAAGACATCAACATCTGAAGGGAAGCACGGGATACAGTGGATAGCTAGGATGCAGTTGGATGATCTAGACTTCGCAGATGATCTGGCTCTTCTATCGCACACACAACAACAAATGCAGGAGAAGACAACCAGTGTAGCTGCAGCCTCAGCAGCAATAGGTCTCAATATACACAAAGGGAAAAGCAAGATTCTTCGATACAACACAACATGTACCAATCCAATCACAATTGACGGAGAAGCTTTGGAAGATGTAAAAACCTTTACATATTTGGGCAGTATCATCGATGAACACGGTGGATCTGATGCAGATGTGAAGGCACGGATTGGCAAAGCAAGAGCAGCATATCTACAACTGAAGAATATCTGGGACTCAAAACAATTAGCAACCAACACCAAAGTCAGAATTTTCAATACAAATTTCAAGACAGTTCTACTGTATGGCGCGGAAACCTGGAGAACTACGAAATCCATCGTCCAAAAGATACAGGTGTTTATTAACAGTTGTCTACGCAAAATACTTCAGATCCGCTGGCCGGACACTATAAGCAACAACCTACTGTGGGAGAGAACAAGTCAGATCCCAGTGGAGGAAGAAATCAGGAAGAAGCGCTGGAAGTGGATAGGACACACATTGAGGAAAGCACCGAACTGCGTCACAAGACAAGCCCTCATATGGAACCC